TATCTTTGTTTAAATGTCCATATAAGTACTCATGTGAGCTGAAATCTTATATCAAGGAACAGCATAATAAAATTATCTAAATGCCGGACAATATTTGTCTTTATTTTCTTAAAATTAAAGCAAACATACGAATTTTAGAATGTCTCAAGATCAAACAATACACATTCGTTGAATGTTATATTTAACAAATATATAAATATATATATATATATATATATATATATATATATATATATATATATATATATATATATATATATATATATATATATGAGAAGTTGGAAAGTTTTTTTTGTGAGGTGTTTCATCCGTTAGGATTTCATCGGACTGGGCTTTGATGACGTTGACATGTCTATACGCGTGCAGGAAACGGGACACGTAGGTAGTTTCAAAATCTTTTGAAAGAATTTTTTTCTCAGTCTAGCCGAAATCATGTGTATTCCTTTTCCTTTTCTTGTCTCTCCACCGCCTCTCCTCCTGACTATCCTACATTATGACAATATGAAATCCACCAAAGATAGTGATATATTGTAAGAGCTTAGACGCGAATTTATTGTGGCTGGACTAGCGATCAAGGAACTTTCCAGACTTTTTCGTTTCAGTAGATTATTTTCTCTTTTAATCAAAGTAGCATTCCCTATATCAAAATTGTGGTCCGTTTTGTTGCGGTGAACAACCAATATACAGTATAAACTGATCAGTAAAAGGTTAGGTGCTCAATGCCGAAAACAGGGCTTGTACATATTAGTATATAATGAACGTTCATTTATGGACAGCTATTATATGTGTGTGTGTGTATGTATGTATGTATGTGTGTGTGTGTGTGTGTGGACATAGGAATCAACACTGATTGGTGACTGTCATTTTCATACTTCAATGCGATCTTAAGACTAACTGAAACCCACACTCCCCATGCAGAATTGTTTATGTTCACATTGTATCTGTAAACGCTTTACTTGGAGCAATATTCGTCTACAAATAATACAAGATTTAATATATATATATATATATATATATATATATATATATATATATATATATAGTAAGGATATATATATATATATATATATATATATATATATATATATATAGTAAGGATCGCTCTTTACAAGTCCCGGTGGCCACTCGAGGTAGAGTGTTACGTTAGGAGGCAGTTTGTACGGATAAGAGAGGAAAATAATGGTTAACTCTGGACTTGAATAGGTTAAGATCGTAGTAATCGGGGAAATATGATCTTGAGATTCGGTTCCGCAGAGAATTGGTTCTCAGAAAGAAGCTGTTCGAGTGGAACTTATTTCTCACCGATGGAATATGGTGGGGATGTGGATGGTTTGCTAGAATGTAATTGGTATGGTGGGTCTTTGCCGTGAAGGTTAATCGTGTCGGAACCAAGGAATGTAGTTCATCCGAGCACTTTCCATGGAAGTAGCGATAGATTAGTGAGAGGCTTCATCACATCCCGCCTTTGAGAGAGAGAGAGAGAGAGAGATGAAAATAATTCATCACCCACAAGGACTCGAAGACGCTTTTATACTCTGTCGAGGCTGGAAAGTACACTCTGCGCAGCTCTCGCCCATATATGACAAAAGTTCTCCATTCTTGGCCTGATCTGGCTCTTGTAAAGGTAGAGGATAGCACGTGGAGTCAGGTACTTACTGGAGCAGTACAGGGAGTGTTACAACAAGTCACAGAGGATAAAACGTATTTAGCATTTTATAATTAACATTCATTAGCTGATGCAGTTTTTGTTTTAACTGTTTAATTTTTAACAATCGAAGCAAATAGAAAAAAAAAAAATTTCCCTGACATTATAATGCAAACTAAATATATAAAAAAATCTGATAAAACGTAGACGAAACCGTTTATTGAATTTTTGCTAAATAAGCACTTTAATTACATTTAGATGCATTTCCCGCTGTGCGTGGAATGTATGTCGTCGGTTTTATCAGTCCAATATTTCCATTAATGAACATCTGATTGACGAGTTGAAGCATTTAAACGGAAATCTTGATTATTCAAAAAGCCAGTAGTGAAATCGAAAAGACATTGCCAAACATCCGATTAATTTTTGACAACAAGCTATGTTGGCAAATCCCATTATATTGAGGAGGGGAATAAGATTTTACCGGAAATGAGAAGACTCGGTGGGCATTGGTTTTTATGAGCATGTGATTGATACTCTGAAGTGAAGGATTTAAAGGTAATTTTAAATAAGCATCGTTGTTCTTTCTTATCGCTTGTAATTAAGTATCACGGCTTTCAGTATGCAGCACAAGAAATAAATCTTGCAATTCTAGATTACGAAACAGTCCTCCTTTTTCATTTTGTCACAGCCACAAATATTTTGTTTGCCATATACAGAATATTCGCTGTTTAGCGGACAGTTCTCATCATTAAGTGTGGCCTTTGATGTATTATATTCTCATTGTGATAAAGCTTCTAAAACAGCTGAAGTGAGAGCAATATGGTAAAATTAACCATTTCCTTATAAGGAAATATTCAGTTTACTGATCGAACTATCAGTTCTATTCTCGTTTGAAGTTCACAAGAAAATATTTCTAAAACAGTTTTTCAGGAAAATAAGTTTCTCAAGTCTACTAGCTGTTATCACTCCTAACTTTATCTTCGAATAACTGGAGAACTTGATTATGTCATTATTCTCTTCGGGTTACATGTGCTATACATTTTAGTTGTTGCCGCTGTTGAAAGTCCTTAAGTGATCTGTTTTTTGGTATTTGGTAAAGTCCTTTTTTTGTGATTCTATAGCGCTAGTTCACGAGGTCTGAAGAAGGACATCCTTTGTAAGACCCTAAGTGTTAGATTACTTGAAGCCATTTTAAATCATTTATGTGAAAAAGGGGAGGCACGGTGGAGTAATGGATAGCAGCTCGGATTGAGGAATCGGAGAGTGGAATTCCAATCGAATCCATTACTTTCATTTACGTGCTAATATCCTTGAGAAAAGGTATAAATCTTCTTTTTCCTATCCCCACATATGGGTAAATAGCAGGGCAAAATGGGTTCTATAGCCTTGGATAGAAACTGGTCTACCGCAGAAAGAAATGGCAACCTGCGTCAAACATTTTCTCCCGTCGGCTAAGTGTGTATCACGCATGGCACATAACTGACTCATGTGAAAAAAGAAAACGGTATTATACAGATGAGAGTTTAGACATTTTTGAACAGGTTGGCCTCCATCCATGTTATCCATATATAAAAGTATCGATCAGATGAGCCTATTTAAAGACATGACTCTATTTCTTAAGTTTTTTTGTAGCAATTTGAGGGGTTGGGTAAACTACCCACAGCGCAGTCTAGTCTGTGTTCAATTTCCTGATCTCCTATACATTGTTTACAAACGACTCATCCATCTTTAAGATAGTTGGCAAATTCGTGCAACGTGCCTACGCCAGATTTTGCGTAGAACTCTGTAAATTTGCTACGGAGACCTTGGAAATGATTCTTCGGTCTTTTGGTGAACATTGAGTTTTGATTGAGACGTGCTTTTCAAGGCTGGTCGAGTGTCGGCTCAAGACGATGAACGTTCAAGAAACCCAATCAATATCAAAACGCCAGAAAGTTTGAAAAAGATTCATGAGAAACATCACCAAACAATCTCTCAGCTGATTTGAATCTGTTATGGAGTCGGTGGATCCTTCTATATCCGATAAAATTTCATCTATCTATCTATCTATCTATCTATCTATCTATCTATCTATCTATCTATCTATCTATCTATCTATCCTGCCCACTAAAATATATAAACATTCATGAAAGCTTTGTAAAATAATTGATAGCCTGATCACTATCACAGGCCCCATATCTCATTAGAGGTGTTGGAGTAACATATGTAGGATTGATTAGGGCAAATAACCCGACGAATCACATTTCTTTTCAAGCTGATTTCAAAGTCAGTTTTCCTTCTTAACTGGTTGATATATCAAAAGAGCCCAATCTGTGCTGTTATATAGACAATAGTTGGATTCATGCCTTTTCCAACGTGCATCAGTGCGAAATGAACACATCAATCTTGTTCAGAATTTGAACTCGACGCGTGGAATCCATTTTTTTTGCACAAGAAACCATTATGCTATTTGTTCATTCACACATTTTGAACTTATCCACTAAAAACTGACGGTTTCCTATCTTTTATCCTCGGGGAACTGATATGTTAATTTTTCGAGAATAAAGTGAATAATTTGATAATTAAGATCGACAATTATTCACGGAGGAAAACATCAAAGACGAAATGTTTTATGTTTATTGTCGTGAGGATGATTGATTTCCTACATTCCTTTGAAACATCATTTTCAGAGGGGACAGAGTTAGGGTTTTATAGATAAGTATATTAAATGTTTATGTATGATATTTACCTCGTTACCATACTGAGACGTGATGTGACACAAGGTCGGGTTTAATGTGGGGAACCCGAGCGCGTACACCTGGGCCAAAGACAAAAAAGCCCGTCTCTATCCGTGGATATAGCCACAACTGAGTCGCACTCTACCCGAAGACAGAGACGCAACTGAGAGATGATAAACGCTACCCGGAATGTGCCAGGTAAGTATATGTTTATGTATTATGTTGATATATAATGGAAATACATCATATGAATTTTGAATAGTATATCATGATATTATTATGATGAAAAAAGTCTTTTTAAATAAAAAAAACGTATGCGCCATGCAAAGCACAACTGATTGATTATTTTTCTTTAGCGGCACATCAACACCTATGGGTTATTTAATACCGATATCTAAATGTTTTGGATGCGATTTTAATTTATTTTTGGAGAAAATAAAGTTTTAGTGATACAAGTCAATAGCTGGGGTGGAGAGGTGGGTTTTTTAAATTTGCCAAAGGTATTTGCAGATAAGTGAATATAACGAACCCAACTGGAATTTGAACTCGACTCTCCGATTAACAATTCCGAGTCATTATCTATTACAATACCCGCACATTCAGCTGGTATTCCCACACGGTTACCCATCTAGTTACTGAACAGACTCAACATTGCTTAACTTCGGTGATCGTACTTAATGTACATAAAATAATGCGTGCATTATTCTTGTGCGTATGCGCGAGAAAACGGTCATCCAGAAATAGTGATTTTCTAAGCGTAGCTTAGATGTGGAATAAGGCCGAATATATGAGGCACCAAGTGAGGATCGAACTCACGACATATAATTGTTCTAGCGAGGCAAGCTTGCTAAACATTGTACAACGTCGAGGTGCCCAAATGGCCAGCCAGAAATGATAATGAAATAAAGAGAAAGATAGAGAAAGATTAGGAGAAAAACACCCAGACGGACAGAGACAGAAACAGAAAGGAGAACAAGGGTAAGAAATTGACAGTGAAAAATACAAGCAAGTAAGAAATAGCAAATGAAAAGGATTGAATAGAATATGGGACGGTATTTACCTGTCCCCCCCACACACACTAAGGCAAAATGTGACACAATGTCTTTTTTATTTGGGGTGCCCATGCAGATGCATATAGGCCAAGGACAAAAATTGTCCAATCCCTGCGACCATTGACGGGCTGGCGTCGGTATTAAACCAACCTTTCCTTTCTGTCGCGGGGTTAAATAAAATATGAAAGGAAGCTGGAAGAGGAATAGCAAAATCTAAAACTACTTCAAGAAATATTACTATGGCTTCTGTGTTCATTTCAATATTGTTGATAAACTAAAGATGTAAATAAATTAGTAAAAAAATGAAGAAGTTATATAACTGCTTCGAGTAGGGCAACACTTTAAAATATGGGTAAATATACTCCAGATGGGGTTAAAACGAAATGTCTGTACGTAATGAAGGGTAAACGTATTTTATCTGAACAAATCGAATCGAAAGTGCATTACTGCGACACAATCAAGCTCATCATAGATTTGATTTTTTGAGAAGGAAAAGAAGGCGTAGTCGAATTAAATTAGATTATTTTTTTTTAAGTTCTTCGCGTTATCTTCACCTCATTTTCTGTTTTTGTGTTAATAGATTGTCTTGCTAACTTGCCTATAGTAAAAAAGTTACTTCTATAGCGTAGATGTGGTACAAAGTCGAAAGTATGGAGCTGACAGTGAAGATCGAACTCACGACTCAACTTTAATTGATCTAGCTAGAGAAGCTTGAAAACCACGTCGATGTACACAGTTTTGTGTCTATAAAAGATCTTAATAAAACAATTCAAAACAATACGTTTCTATTCTTATTTCCTTGATAAAATCCAAAGAAGTATCAGCAATATTATTGGTCCTGATCTGGCATCTTGGCTTCAGACATTTTCCCATCACCATAAAGTTGCCTCTCTGTACCTTATATATAAATACTTTGTCGGAAATTGTTCAGATGAGCTCTTCGCTATGTTTGCTGGTTGGCACCCTTTTAGTTCTGCCCGCCCCCGCGATTTTCTAATTTAGTTTAAATTCCCCCTCTCCTCCCTCGGTAGGTGACCAGAGGCACCAGTTCTCTGGTGGATGCGGGATGACTTTAGTCTTTTCGGGTGCGATTTTCGTATTTGTTGTGTTTGAATGAGTGTGTGTTTGGATGAGTGATTGGATGAATGAGTGTTTTATATTATTAAACGCCTGCATTGATTCCGTCCAGTTAACTGATGTTTCTGCAACAATTAAGGATTGTGGATTTTTTTTTTATTACTAACACTATTTTATTTAGTTTCTTGTAAATAGTTTCGTTTCATATTTGCAAATACACATTAGGGATTAGATTTTTAAATTATTGTTAAATTCCCTATCCACCACAGACAAAAATTGTACATATGGGGACTAGTGAGGACTTCATAGAGACATCGAGGTATTATGGTGGATGTTGTAAGAATGGTAAGTAAGAATACGTTGTTTTGGTTTAAGGCATATTGTGGTAAGTTTGGGCCAGTGATTGTGGCTAGCTAAGTTTAATTTGAAGATAGAAGGCCATACTTTTTCCCCATTTCCCATTTTGGCCTTGTGCCACATTTCTGTACATAATGCGGAATAAATATTGTTCTTCACTATGGTAACTAGACTTTATGAATGTTAGCGCAGTACTAGACTAGCAGCTAGGTCTCATCGATATACAATTGAGTTGGCTAGATCTAACCGTAAGTTTTGTCCTAAGAGTTTATTTTCTCGCAATTCTCGCTTGTGAAAATCTCTTCCGTTTTCATACTTTCTAGCCAACTTTAAGCTTCAAAAATTTAAATGCAATGCCAATCGATATCTACTGGCCTACTGATTACTCTTATTCTTCTGTACTCGCTTTTTGGTGGTATCTATGTTTTTTTTTAATTCTTCCGCACTCAGTAACCACTTGTAACTCAGTGGCTTTACTGCCTTACTTGGGGTGAACTTGATTAAAAAAAATTGCAAAGTTATATGAATAACAATCTATTTCATGTAATATTATACGTGATGTTTAAGAAAAAAATGAGATAATTTCGTAATCTAATAACCTGACTAATTCTCGCCCAAATGATCTTAAACTTAAACATGTGTAGAAACAACTCAATATAATGTTTAATATTTAAAAAAAAAACCTTTTCAAGGATAGAAATGGCATTCAATGGAAAAGAAAAGGCGTTTTGTGTATTAAAGTATCCTCGAGCACAGTTACAAAAGACTGTGCAGCGTGCATTTGAGAGACAATTCTCTATAAATGCATTAACTGCTATTCAGATTTGAACATGGCATAAGAGTTAATAGCGGAAGACTGTTCAGGGCAAAAATATCCTTGACGACCACCATTATCGGAAGAGATGGGCAAACGGGTTCGAGAAACATTGTTATGAATTCCCCACCCCATGAAAATAGCAATTCTGGAAAGTTAGATTTCTCCAACGACGGTTTGGTTTGTCTCAATGAAACGCTTGCGAATGACACCCTAAAAACTGAAGCTCATCCAGGCCTTAATGGCAGATGACAAGCAAAAAGCGCAAGTAATTCCTGTGTCGATATGCAAGAGAGACTTGAAGAAGACGAATTTGAAGAATGTGTTGAGGCGGCATTTCAAAGTCAGCAAGCATAATGTTTGCATTTAGAGCGAAGAAAATGTCCACGCCGAAGATGAGCACACGTGGGACTCACCAAAAGAAAAGTATTCCGTGTCATCGGTCATGCGCATATCGAAGACTTGTGAAATCATTCATGAAATTGGCATAACTTTGAATTTCCCATTCGAATTTTGATGAATAAATCTTATTTTGCTCAACAATAAGTCTATCTGGGTTTCATTTTCCTAGAGTATGTAGTTACTCATATGTTAACAATGATAATAAAATCTTTTGAAACAACCTGTATTACTATATGAGTATATCCAAAACTTTGAAGTAACTGCATCCCTGGAAATATGCGTGATGGGATGATATGTAAAAAGTATTTGTCAACCGCTGAAACAATTTATAAAATATATTATTTTAAAAATATATTTATGATTTTTCATGCACATTTGGAAGTGGTTGGTAACCTCAACCAAAATATCAAATTTCAGATTTGTTGATGCTTCAATACGTTCCAAAAAACAATCGCTGTTTTCCATTGTTTCAGGAAAAAAATCGATGAAATAAACATGGCGCCGATCATTCCTGATCAACACCATGTTTATTTCAGTGAATCTTTTAAGAGAAAAAATAAACTGAAATCCGGATAGGAAACAACGAAATCCATGGATTGTTTTATTTTTGTTTATAATTTTAAAATATTGATTAATATACCCTCATTTAAATAAAGATACCTTGATATCCCAAAAATAATAAATCTATAATTTATTATGTGCGTTAGAATATAAAAGCGGTTGGCC